GGGGGTGTTGCCTTTGGAATCTTAAGTGTTGAGATTTGTATCATTTAGTATCATGCTGGGCTGTAAGTAGCAGAGTAACTATTACTAGTGCTTTAAACAAACAAGTTTATCACACAACAAAATGTCAAGGTGGGTGGTTACTACCCAGAAGTTTCATTAGGGACTCAGGCTCCTTCTGTTTTGTTTTGTTTCCTTTTGTCATCCCTAATGTGTTGGCTTTTGACCTCCATCCTTATCTCTTCATGGTCACAAAATGGCTGCTGGCCCTCCAGGCATTGCTTCTGTATCAAAGCAAGAGGAAGAGAACAGGGCTGTAGTGGCTAATGGCATCTACCGTTTTTATCAGGAAAACAAAAGTGTTCCTAGAAGATGCCCAACAGATTTCCTATAATATTTGGCCAGAAATGGTCTTATGGCCGTTTCCTTAATACTTGGCCACAAGCGGTCACATGCAGGGGATGCTAGGATAATGACAAGCTGGCTTTTTTTAGCCTGTTTAGTGGGAGGCAGCAAGGCAAAAAAGAGCTGGGAATGGCTCTTGGGTAACCAGGGATGGTATCTGCCCCATTTGATAATAGCACCTGGATTTTCTAGTGGGAAGTTGTCAGTCCCCTATGCATAGCATCTGGTGGTGCAGTTAATCGAGGTGCCCTATCTTTCCTTAGCCAAAAGGTGAGACAGGTCAGGCCATTGAGAATCTATGCCTGTGGAATCTGAATTAGAACTTTGCTTGGTGGCAGGTAACATGATACCCATGTTACAAGTCAGTTCAGACTGCACCAGGCCTGTCAATGCAAGATGGCTAGATAAGGGAGTCTGAGGGCTGGCCGGCTGGCCAAGGGGTAGGGGAGCAGGGAGCGGGCTTGAAGCTGCATTCGGAATGTACGCCTCTAGGAATGTGAGGTTTTGGAATTGGGGGTTTTCATACTCGAAGGCTCTCAGGGTCTGGTAGCTACCCTGGGGTGGATTCTTGGCCTCTGAGCTGCCACGGTTCTAATCCTCCTCAGGATTCACTACCCGCTGCCCCTTCCGTACCAGGGCAAGCCAGACCCTGTGGTCCTGCAGGGCATCATCCGCTCACTGAAGGAGGAGCTGGGCCGCCTTCGAGGGCTGGACGGCCAGGATGCTCGGGACACCCGGGAGACTGAGATCTGGCACCTGAGGGAGCAGTGAGTCTGGGAGGGCAAGGTGGCTGGGGCTGGGTGGGGGAGGCATCCTATTGGGCACCGCAGGGCCCCGTGCTCAGCACTCCTGAGAGAATGGTGGTCCCTCATTCACCAAATATTTATTCTGAACCCCTCCTCTGTGCCTGCCTTGCGCTGGGTGGTGCTGGGGACAGCAACGACTGAGACAGTCCTGGCCCTGCCCTCCTGGGACTCCCAGTCCAGTGGGGGAACATAGCTCTGTATGCAGACAGCGACAATTCACAGTGGGTGGAGCTTGGGAAGCCCGGAGGGGAGACTGGAGCCAGCCTGGTAAGGGAGGGGTGTCGTAGGCAGAGGGAGCCGCATGCATAAAGACAGGATGGGAGGTAGGGCTCTATCTAGTGCCTCTTTTGTATTGACCCCCTCCTTGCCCTTCACGTAGTGGCCCGCCCAGGGGGCAGGTGGATGTTGATCCCGTAACCACCTGAGTATAGCATTGCCCCAGAAATGGGGTTAGGCAGAAAAGGTGGTCTGTGCTATAGGAGGCTGCAGTAGGAACCTGATGGGGTCTTGGGGTAGGTCAGGTGAAGGGGGTGGGGAACAGTGTTCTAGGCAGAATGAACAGCATGTGCAAAGGCTTTGTGTTTGGTCCGACGTGGTGAAAACAAGGGGACTAGAAGAGTAAAGTGAAGAAAGCAAAGGCTTTTTGGCACATTTCCGAGTACCTACTGTGTGCTATGCACTGTGGGGTGCTGAATCAGGGATTCCATCCCCATCTGGAGGAGGCCCCACCCAGTGGGGAGCAAATAATATTTTTATTTGTTTTTATTTTTTATTTTTTTAAGTAGGCTCCACACTGGGGCCCAGCACAGGGCTTGAACTCATGACCCTGAGATTAAGACCTGAGCTGAGATCGAGCTGAGATCGAGAGTCGGACACTTCAACGACTGAGCCACCCAGGCGCCCCAATATTTTTAGTAATAACAATAATAATTATTACAGCAGCTAACATTTATTGAGCATTTCACTGTGTGCCAGGGATTCTGCTCAGTGCTTTATGACTTCATTCCTTTAATCCTTGCAAGGTGGGCATTGCTGTTGTCCCCATTTTGCAGAGGAGGAACACTGAGGCCCAGAGAGGCTAGAGAATTTGCCCCAGGTCACACAGTGAGTAATATGGCCAGGCTAGACCTTGAATCCAAGCAGCCAGCACCAAGTATAGCATTGTTGTTTGTTTCCTTTAGCTGCTGAGCTCTGTTGGCAGCTGCTGGGCCCCTAGGCCAGGACTGAGTGTTGGGGCTGACAGGGAGGAGTGGGAGCTTATAGAGCTGGAGAGCCTTGTGGGTCTTCCTGGAAGAGCTTGGCTGTGCATTGCTGGGAAGCAGGATAAGCTTTAGCCTCAGTTCATCCTCAGGACTCTCTGGTGTGTGGGGGTGTATGTGTTTCCCAGACTGGCCACAGCGTGGCGCCCTTTGCCCTTCAGAACCAACCAGAACTAGCGAGGGTGGCTTGAGATCCTATAGCTGGTCAGTGGCTTCTTATCTTTCTCTTCCCAACTTCCTCTTCCTAACTGGAGTGAGGGAATTTGGGAAGACTCCAGATTCATTCATTCATCCAGCCAACATTTTTCTGGTTCATACTGTGTCCCAGGCACACTGCCCGGCCCTAGTTAATGTTTCTTGAGCCCTTACTCAGTGCCAGACATGGTCCAAGCACTCTTCATAGATTCTTAGAGCCTTATAGGTAGGTATTATTATTATTATCATCCCACTTCGCAGAGATGTGAGGTCAAACTGCATAAGGTCACCCAGCTTGTAATAAGTGGAGTAGAGTCAGACACAGTCAGCCTGGCCACAAAGCTCAGGTCCCTCACAGTGACCAGACAGCTGGAGTGAAGATCCAGACAGAAAACAGATAATCACACTGATAAGTGCCAGCTCTAGGAAGGAAATGTACAGGGAGCCACGAGAGCAAAGAGAGGGACGTGTCCTAACCTCGCTGGGGGCAGGGGATGTGATGTTTGAAGGGTGAGAGAAAGTGTTCCAGGAGAAGGGACTTGGATCTGCAAAGAGAAGCTTGGCTGGGGAGGAAGGTGGGGGGAGAGGAAGGGAAGGGGGAAGTCAGCTAGATGGGGCTGAATGGGAAGCTCCCTGGAGAATATAGGGGAGCCACAGATTTTAAGAAGCGTTTTATTAGGAAAAATTCCAAGAACACACAAAAGTAGACAATGGTATCATGCCCATGTACTTGTGCCCCTGATTCAATGGTTACCTACATTTTGCCCATCTTGTTTGATCTACACACTCCCTTCTGCCCGAGAAGCAAATCCCGGACATATCTCCTCTTAAATACTTCATTCTATCTCCATGGTTAATGTATTCCCCTGTCCCCTGTATTTCCTGTGAAGTAGTTGTTAAACCTATAGGCTGGTCAGATTTAGGTTTCTGGCAAGACACCTTCCTCGGTGGTGCTGTGTGCTTGCTCACTGTCAGGTGGTGTTGGGGCTGATGAGTTCGGATGTGGAGACCTGGTTCCTTCTTATTAAGGTCCCATCAGCCCAGCATCTCTTGGTACTTTTTATTTGCTAATTACCAATGAGGTTGAGCAGTTTTTCATATATTTAGTAGCCATTTGGATTTCCTCTTTTGTGAGCTGTCTATTCACCTATCATGTCTATTTTTCTTCTGTCATGTACTTCTTACTGACTTCCAGGAACTCTTTATATAGTCAGGATATGAGCCCTTTGTTAATTTTATGTATTTCAGAAACCTCCTTGCCCTCTATAGCTGGGCTTTTTACTCTCTTAATAGTGCCTTTTGATAAACAGATGTTCTTAATTTTATGTAGACTAATTTATAAATTTTTTCTCTGAAGTTACTCATTTTTATGTCTTCTCTTAGAATCCCTTTCTCCCAGTATCCTGAAGATATTGCCCTATATCATCTTCTATAGTTTTTTGTCTTTTGCTTTACACATTTATGTCTACAATCTACCTGAAATTGATTTGGGGGGAGGTAGGTGTCCTTTCATGGTTTTTTCACATTACCAGTCAATCAGCCCAGTGACATTTATTGAAAAGAGTATCATTTCCTTGGGGCACCTGGGTGGCTCAGTTGGTTAAGCGCCTGCCTTCGGCTCAGGTCATGATCCCGGAGTCCTGGGATCGAGTCCCACGTCGGGCTTCCTGCTCAGTGGGGAGCCTGCTTCTCCCTCTCCTCCCTGCTTGTGCTCTCTCTCGCTATCTCTCTCTCGCGCGCGCAAATAAATAAAATCTTACAAAAAAAAAAAAAAGAGTATCCTTTCCCTACTGCTTAGCCATTGTCACTTCTATCAGAAAGCATGTTTAGGTGTCATCCATCAGGTGAGGTTCTGTGCTCTGTAGTCCATTGGTTTGTCTATGCTTATGCTGGCAGCACACCGTTAAATTATTGCAGCCTTATAATTAGGCTGATACTGGGTAGAGCAAGTCTTCGGACTTTTGTTTTTCCCTTTGAAGAATGTTTTTGGTTATTTTTGGAAATTCACATTTCTTGATAAATTTTAGAATCAATAGGTTTTGGTTTTTTTTTAAGATTTTATTTATTTATTTGACAGAGAGAGAGAGACAGCGAGAGCAGGAACACAAGCAGGGGGAGTGGGAGAGGGAGAAGCAGGCTCCCCGCAGAGCAGGGAGCCCGATGCGGGACTCGATCCTAGGACCCTGGGATCATGACCTGAGCCGAAGGCAGAAGCTTAACGACTGAGCCACCCAGGCACCCTAGAATCAATAGGTTTTTCAATACAAAAGCATAAAACCTGTTGGAATTTTTTTTTTTTAATAATAGGATTGAGAGTTTATTCTTTTTAAATAAAAATACACCCAACAGGGACCCCTGGGTGGCTCAGTCGGTTGAGCGTCTGCCTTCGGCTCAGGTCATGATCCCAGGGTCCTGGGATCGA